GTGCGGTTCGCGTTAATGTGATGAGCACTCATACCCTGGTCAGTGTGGTTGCACGCCTAAACGCATGTATTCGTCTCGACAGCCGGCTGCGTCTGGTAATGCCTGCTCATTCCTGACTCGGTCGACATCGGGCAAAGAAGGGTGAGGGACGAGACAGTTTGGATAATGCAGTGCCAGTTATTTCACTCATCCTACTAGGAGGCACATGACAAATAAATTCGAGTACGACGTTCGAACCGGCACATGTCTACCTGCACTCAGGAAATGATCCGGCACTCCATGCAGTAAGCATTAGGTTAATTTTCACCTAGGTTTTTGTCCACGAAGGCACAGAGGTGTGTATAAAGCATTAATGGCATAATATCTGTCGAGTGGCATGCCAATGTTTGCTTGCAGACATCGTGATCGGCATATGCTCGTCTCGATCTTTAGACATTTGCATTTTTTTCAAAATGTAAAACGATAGTTGCATATGACCACTTGTCTCGATGGACCTAAAACATTAGCAAATTCAGAAGACTAGGTGACAGGCATACGTTTGCTTTCGATAGGTTCTCGTCAGGCCACTTTATTTGCATGGGCACTGAATCGGGTATGACGCGTCAGTGATTCAAAAACTTGATTAAAGTTCCTGTTGACAGTACGAACCCAAGCGTGCTACCTTCGATGAGGCGAGATTAATTCCTAATTAATATCGTGTGAGTTCAACTCACCTTACTCAATAACCTTTAGTGATAGAAATTCATGCGCTCTTAGCTGAACTTAAGCGAATGCCGAAGAATCGAACTATGCGATGTCGGGCTTCTTAGACGGGAATGCGGAGAAAATAAATGTCCTTAGTTGAGTACACCGCGACCAGGACATATATTGCACCATTATAGCAGAATGACCTTTAATTGCCTTCGATATCAACGTATTCACGCATAGCGCATACGCTTACTCGTGGAACTTGTTGAGAGAATCTGATTTAAGGATTTTTGGACGGCTTAAACGTAAATATCCTGTTCCTGAGCATAATATGCGTCTACACAATTTAATTAATCATGATATTCATAAATACCAGCAAATGTTAAATTTTCGATATAACCGGGCAAATGAATATGACTTAATTCGTTAATTGTGAGCAATATATTATTTTGCCTACCGCTTGAAATGTTAATCGAATTGTAGTAGGATAACTATGTTGGGTTTTTAAGGCTTAAAATCGCGCAACATAGTGCTAGGATGTTTCAGTCACACCACCGGTCCGCGGTTTGGATGAACGCCCTTCCAGCTTTCTTCAAGAAGTGCACTCAGCAAACAATACCTAAGAATATCGTAGACATTTCGCTTTTAATTTCGGTACATTTATGAATTCGTGCGCATTTTATAAAGAACATGCATACAACATTTGCGATATTAGACAAATATGGTTGTACACCGTCTTCTTAAAATGCTAAAATTTCGGAACTAAGTTTCCTCTATCCAAACTTGTCACCATTTTACAAATAAATTTAAACTCGAACTGCCGTTACACTTAAATTTACCTTGCATCCAATCCACTGCGTACGGACTAGCTGTATACTACAACCTAAATAGAGCGCATAACATATATCCTTTATATGGATAATCAAAACCACAATCTGGACCATAAGAAAGATGAAAGAATTCACAAAATGTACGCTTCTTAATATTCTGATCATTGGCACCCTGCGTAAACGATACTGCAATTCGATTTCTTAAACGCATATGTCCCCGTATCTGCATGTAACGTGTGGACATAATAGATCCGTTTTATGACGCAAACTTTATTAACAAACCTCTATATTCCTTGAGAAGCGCATCAGTAACGATATTTTGCAAAACTCCGAAACGGTGGTTTACCACGGAATAAAAAGCAAGTCGCTGAACATCGCCATAGTTTTTTTAGAAACAGGTTATAACTTATATAGTCAAACACCATGCGGAATGCAGGCTTCGCAAGCAGTCATCGGTCCGACGGCGGAAACAATCCTTGGAATAGTGTACATTTGACTGTAGTGTGCAATGCGTCTTTAACGTCTAGATAGGTAAGGCGAGTTGACTATGCATCAGTCATGACAACATATCTCAAATTATTCAGAAGTCCGTTTTGAAGGATAATGACATGAGCCTTGTGTAACAAGGGGCATATATTTTCGTCGTAAATGTGCTTTCATTCCTGGCAGTTAGTATTCCACAGAACTTACAATTGACTGAAAATTTTACTTGCATTTGTCGGTCTACCAGCAGTGGCCGGCACATACACAAATCAAATTGACCAAAGTCGGCCGATAATTCTCCATCTATCGTATACGCATATGCGCAGATTATTGGCATGCATATATCGCTGGAATGATCCAAGATGTCTCAACATCTTCATCAGTGTCTTCTTTAATCACATTCTAGCCGCCGAAATGCTTTGCTAGGTAACCATGAGATGTCAAATAAAATAAACTCTGTAAACAAAAACAATAACCAGAGAACTGCATGCGCTGAAACCGAGAAAGGCGTTTCGTCGAAAATAGTGCACAGCGTGCACATACAGTGAGTGACCGATCTCATGAAATTTTTGCTGGAATTCTAAAATGCGTTTTCGATTAGGAAGGATTACATGGTCGCGGTTGTAATAATGATTATCATAAGGCATAGTCTTATAACATTTCGGATTTAGCAGGATGTCGGCTTTCAAATGCACTTCTTTGTAATCTCCTTTAGAATGCGTGCTCGGTAAAAAAATGACTACTTAAGTAGCATGCATTTTTCCCATTGATTTTCGATGGTTTTGCAAATTCAAATATATTTTCGAGAAAACATAAAGAAAAATATGCTTTCTTTTAGTCAATCAATAGAGAATCACGTCTTCTTTATACTTTATACTTAAGGAAGGTGTATAATTAGGTTTTAAAAAAGTTTCCAATTATTAGACTTTTTAAGACCGCAAAATGTCCATTCACATAGCATCGTACTTGGCCTTTTACCACTGCTCCTCATGAAATGTTCAACATGGTCCGCATCTATTGCAAAATTTTATGGACTCTGTATGATATCTCTCTAATGGCATAGAAAAATATGTGATTTTCTTTACGCTGAACGCATGCACCTTGTAGTGTGAAATCACTAAGCGCTACTGCAACGAATGATCTGGCTCCAAATTATTCGGCAATTAGAAAACTTTTTAAAACTTAATTATGCTTCTTCCTTAAGAATAAAATGTAAAGAAGATGTGGTGCTCTATTTATTGACTAAAAGAAAGCATATCTTTGTTTATGGTTTTTAGAAAATATATTTAATTTGCAAGACCATCGAAAATCGATGGGAAAAATGCATGCTACTTACGTAGTCATTTTTTACCGAGCACGCTTTCTACAGGAGATTAAAAAGACGTGCATTTAAAAACCGACATCCTACCGAATCCGAAATGTTATAAGAGTATGCCTTAAGTTAATCAATATTACATCCGCCACCAAGTAATCCCTCATAATCGAAAACGCATTTCAGAATTTCAGCCAACATTTCATGAGATCGGTCACTCACTGTAGTATTTAATTCAACGGTTGACACGGTATGCCTATAAAAGACATCAACCGACTAGTCACTCATCCTCGACGTTTATTATATTTTAACCGACTTGTGCTTTGGTAGGAAGTGTAGCTTCAAGTCTTCCTAACAAATACAACCTCAGCATTCCACCAGCATAATGCGTCAGGCGATGAGACAAAAATACCCACCGCCATGTTGTCGTTTACCGGATCTGATGCAGTTGAGTGGAAATTTCCCGAGGGATAATCACGTGAGCCGCCAGTTGCTTGAGTCATTGTTCACGCTAGCCTAGTGTACCAAACACTGCAATGACACTCACTGTCTATCTTCGGTGCTGAGGCATAGACTGGGCAAAGCAATCAGCCATTCGGCGAGTGTCAAAGCCGGTGAGCCAGATGGCCGAGCAGATATCACAGCGGCATCCAACACGGGTGATTAGATTTCAGCAGCTCACTACTTGCCTGCCGGCCATCAAGCAACTAGCTGCAGAAACCATTTGGGCGTTTGGAACGTCTCTTGCCGCAGTTAAGAGCTAACGTCGCTATCAGTATTGCTGTAGGCTTAAATAATTCTTTATATGTTTGCTTCCTATAACGCGTCCTTCCGCGATCATATTTGCACAGCACAATAATTATTCCGCTGAAATACTGCTTAAATTCATTATACAGTGTTAGTTCTCGTTGTACACAACCTACTAACGGTAACCGCACACACATCTAGCATTGACCCACGTAGTTCACCCAGAACATCAATTTTAATGGGCTAGTTTCACAGATCCTTATGGTATACTTACAAGGCCGACGGAACCCAAAGGCAAGTTTAAACATGGAAGTGGAGTTAAGTGTTATTGGTGCTTTTTAAAGCATAAGACGACAGCATATTCGTGAATCTGATTAAAGTATCCATGTTTGTCTGGCTTCATCTGCTATACACGGAATAAAAGCGAAATTCAAAATTGGCCGAAGGTTATATTCGTAAAGAGTGCCAGTATAAGTCGCGCTCTGTAGTTAAAACATGCGTTATATCAGAGTTCAGTTTTCAACCAGCCATTGGGCAGGCAAAATATCTGAAAATGCGCCATCGTCAAATTCGGCCAAAATTAGTAAATCATTTCTCAAATGAGAACAATAAGGTACTGGAGTGCGCGCGGACCGCAATAAATGGGCTTACAGATATTGCTAGTTTGCCTTACTGTGGACAATGCAGATCGGACAGTATCGTATAGAAACTACTCACGAATGGAAGAGAATATGCGCATCCCAGTTTCTTATTTAAAAGAAGGCGAAGGCACGATCACTGGGACAGTAGGTTTATTTCCCTGAGCTTTCGAACTCGAACTAGAGTTCATCATCAGAGGCTACTCGAGTGCAGCAAATTGTGAACATTTATATCGTTCATTCTTGCGGGGGGGAGGGGGAGTACGTCCGTGACTAGGTAGGGTTTGTGCCGCCTGGTCCACGATGTTCCCCCGGCGTGGTGACGCCTTTTGCACTTCGCGACGGTGTGAGCTGCGTTACCTGGCTGCGTGGGCGGAGCGCGTGATAACACGCAGGCAAATCGATGTGTCTGTTGATGGAGTTGGTGTCCGACACCCACGCCTCCAACAGCTCTCGTCCTGTCTTGTTCCCGGCCCGCGCCAATATCCGCGTGTTGGCGAAGTCGACCTCAAAACGGGCCACGTGTTAGATGCGCTGGACCAACACGGGGGCCACATCGGACTCCGGCAGGCGTTATCTGTGCGCAATAACAAATGCCAACATTTGCGGGGTGCGCTGGCGGGCCCTGTTGTCGGCATTCGTCGCTCAACTGGACCACTGTCACCACCCCATTGTTTTGTGGTCAAAATCCTGGTCATTGGTGTGTGGACCAGGGGTGCGGAGTGGAGCGCCAAGGCGAAGATCCGTCCGAGCCATCCACCTGCGGCCTCCCCCGTCTCCGGTCTTCTTGACTCTTTCTTGACACCGGGCCCAGGCGGGGGAGGAGGAGAGAGTGTAGGTAGATGCAGCGCAAGTCTACTGGCACTATAAACCCCTGCGCAAGTCACCGTCCCTGCTCCCACAATGCAGTCTGTGGGGCACACGGTGGTCATCGTCGAAATCGACGGACGAACTGTCGAGTGCCTACTTGATACAGTGGGTCGCCTCTCCGAACGGCCCGTTTGTGCTCAAGTATTCGTGAGCTCAGACGTCGTCCTGTCTGGCCTGTGTATTGGCAAGGACAGTTTTGGCACGGAATTCGATAGACTACGCCCGACTGTTCACCTGCGTCCAGCGGATCCTTCATTTTCATGATCCTGCTATGCATGGTGGCCGCCGGATGAACACAAATAAGCTATCCGTCGGCGAGACTCCCCTCTCTCGTCTTTGCCCATGCATTCGAGTACGACCACCGATTGAATTGGGATGGCATGCAGGTCGTTGCCGTGGATAACACAATGTGAGTAAGGGAATTTCTCGAGGCCTGGTACTGCAATGCGGGTAGTATCAACCGCCATGTTGACTTGATGTCAATTACGAGGGTCTACGTTCACGACTGACTGCCTCCAGCCGTAATCACGCATCAACGACCGCGAATACAGCTGCCCGCATTCCAACTGATTCAGCACCCACCATCCCCTTGCAGCACAGTTTGCCGCAGTTGTCCCGCCTCATCTCCCTCCCCCACCTCATTCAGGGACCTGCCATGACCTCGGAAACCCCCTACCCTCACACGTCAGTGGTCTATCTGCCCCATAACACCAACTAGTCTATTGTGACAACCTAACTTTCTCACTTGTTTTCATTTCGTCTGACCACGGCTTGGTGTCACCAGCTCGAACATTCACGGGTACAAATTGACATTTCTAAAGAACGTCTTCTATTTTTCAGAATAATTCACCTATGTCTCCTTCCGACCAATGCCATGCATGTGTTAAAAGTTTTGGCGTACTATTAACATATAGTGGACTGGAGTTGGATAATCTTGTGGTGCGACTTCTTTATGCACATGTGTTTCTTTGGCGCATGGCCTTTCAGCGACTCCAGTCTGCGCGGCGGTGTCTGGAACAAGCCTGCGCCTATTCACTAGCGGCAGTCGCCCGCATGACCTTGTGAGCTTGTGCATGATGTTCACGGTGCGAATAGCCAATCACAGCCGTCCTTCACCGACCAAATACATCTAGGTCTCCTGGCGCGGTCATGCCTGTTTTCCGCATGCCAACATATCCCTTTAACCTGCCACTGCGTCCGCGCCGTGTGGTGTAAAAAATATTTTTCCATCCTGACGTCTGCTTCATCCTGCGAGGGAGCTGGACTAACGTCGTGTACTGCAGACCGTTTAAAAGGAAACATATGATAGCAGTGATGTTATTGCCGCCAGTTCATTTACGTCTCAAACCGCTGGTAAGGCCAGAGCAAAGTAATGCCAAAACAGTCAACGGACATTGTTTAATTCGAGGCATGTTTTGGAAGATATCATTACAGCTTAAGGTCAACGGCAAGCAAGAGTGGCAGAAGGAAGCACTGCGTCATGGAAGTGGATTTTAGTGTTATTGGTGCTTTTAAAGTATAAGACGACACCAAATCCGTGAATCAGACTAAAGTATGCGTATTTTACTGGCTTCATCTGTTATTTACGGATTGCAGATAAAATTTAAAATTAGATTAAGGTTATTTTTATTAAGCGTGCAAGTTTATGTCTCGCTCTGCAGTTAAAACATGCGTAGCCTCAGAGGCCTGTGTACTATCAGCCAATGGCTAGGAAAAATATATGCAAATACGCTATCTTTAAATACTGCCCAAATTAGTAAACAATTACTCAAATGCGAACAATAAATGCTGAAATGCTTGCGTACTGCTATAAATGAGATTTTTTTGCCTTCTTGTAGACCATGCAGCTCGGAACGTATGGGATGGCAGATGTCCAACAAGTTTTACGACAAAAATGTCAAGAATGTATTCAAGAATATCTGCTGCGTAGCCTGAAAGCGTGAGCATTACCTGCTCTAGGCCGGTCAGCATGTTTCATCTTCTCGTACTGCCAGCATCCGACACCGCGATGTGTAAACTACTTTTCCATACTGAAGGCTGTTTCCTCCTGCGCTGGACCTGGCCTACCGTCATTTCCTACAGACCGTTTAAAAGCAAACATATCTTTTTCATGCAAGTCGCAACTGTTCCATCTTCCGCTAGCATCTCAAAGAAACCAAGATCTATTGGTATATAATGGGTTCGGTTCCAAGTTAGCCACTTCGCCCAAACAACGCTGCGATCACCTTTACCCAGGTATAACACCTTTCGATAATGGTTTAGTTCCAATGGTAGGGGGCGCTCACCGAACGTTCATACGGAACTCACTCGTTCCGTTGTGCCTTATGGACTCTCTCTCGAGCCCAACCAGCAGCCGCACAGCGGCGCATGATATACAGGCAGAATAGCATTACCGACAAAGACAAGGGAGAATGGAATGGCCATTTCTGGCTTATTAGCCGTCGTCAGCCAGCCATACCCAAGCCCGAAGTGTGGAACACCCGAGCCTCGAACTCGCGTTGGAAAGGGAATTTTATCAGACACGTGACTTTTCAATTATCTATGTGGTTATTAATAAAAAGGGATAAGCACATTGCTCACCGCGTATGCAGTAATAATTTTATTAAACTCTTAGTATAGGAACTTATGTTTAAGCTGATATTAATATGTATTTGCTAATCTACGCCTGTTATGTCGTGCTATCGGTTTGACATGTTTGCTGAATATGTGCCTCGTCCTGACTTGTAGTCCTTTTTTAGCTACACGCAAGGACAGTCGACATGAATACTAAAAAGCTAAATAGGTTTAGTTCCAAACTAAAAATACCAGTGATATTAATGCCGTCTGCCTATTTGGGTTTTAAACCGCTTGTTAGGACAGAACAAATTAATACCAAAAAATAAACAAACATTGTTTATTTGGAGGAAAGTTTTAAAAGGTATCATTACAACTTAACGAGAATGGCAAGCAAGATTGGCAGAAGGAAGCACTGTGTCATGGAGATGGTCGGAGCACTGGATGTTGTGGCTTCAGTCGTATCGTTGGAGGGCGAAGTAGAGTTAATGGGCCCAGTAGTATTGGTATCAGCCCCATTACTACTGCCAGGCGATGTCGTAGCAGTAGTATTAGAATCTACGGTCGCATTGCTCGAGCTATTAGAAGATTCTATAAAAACGAGTTGGTTGTTTACTCATATGCTTTAAGAGGAATCTTGAGAAGGGAAAATAACAACCAAAATGTTCTGAAACATACGGCTGAAGACAACTGACGCGATGAGTAGGACGCCGAACAGAAACTTCATTATCACGCTGTTTCCACTGTTAAAATTTAAAAAAATTATGAAGACGTGCATGGCTGATGATGTCACTACCACTTAACAGTCTCCTGGCTCGTCGGGTGCACTAACTTACCTTAAGGTCGACAGCTCGAGTGCCTAATTGAGACCATAAAACTGCGTCTTTATATATCTGCGCCGAAACGGGTTTAATTGGGTTAGGTTCCTAACTCCACGAGGGCGGGGAGTTAACAGATTACTTCCTTTCTGTTACGGTCATGTGCAGGCGTTGGCTATAACGTCTACCCTATCGACTGCACTTTTTCGGGTGTTCACGTCATAGGACTGCTCCTCGTTATTCTGAGCGATTAGGTTTCGGTAAAGATACGCGACGGTATCATGTGGCAGAGCACTTATTTCTTCTACTGTGGGGATAATCTGAAACACAGTTTGTAAAATGTTAACATGCTTAGCGATTTTCGTCTGAGTACTGTGCGAGCAATCTGTTCAGTCTGCATTGAATCTTCTTCATTTTGGTGAGCAGACATCTGTATCTGACAAAATCTCTTCAAGCCTATATTACTACTAAGAAACATCAAATTGATAATTACTCCGCAGCTCAGTTTAGAGAATTGTGGGGGTAGGCTGCTTAAACCACCCAAATTGCAGTCAGCGTCAGGAGGATGGTGGAGATCGGAATGTGAACATACTTGCGGGTGGCGAGCATGACGACTTTGACCCATGGTATCTACACAACCTGTATCAAGTTGTTCTGCGCGCAGACGACCGGGTTGCATACCCTGAGTGCAACCTCCTCTACCGTAGAAAATCGGGGCCTCGCCGGTCTTTTTGGATGGCTGAACAGAACCCTGTAAATCATTTGGAAATGCTCTCTGAAATTTACGCGTGATTTTGTGTCCACCACCTTCTTCATATGACCCGATCCTTGCCATGCTGAATTATGTTCAGTTAATTATCAAGGCAAAAACTGATTCGTGTCACTGATATATTCTGCCTCGTAGTGAGGAGGTGTTTGAGGAAATACCCATACAGGCGGTCTGGAACAGCAGTTTATCCTTGGCCCTTCTGTATAGACTGAGACTAAAAGGTACTAGTATACGGTCGTCAGCAACTGGAGAGCTGCGTGAAAAAGCTCTAGCCAGGGGCCTCCCTGATGAATGGGGGAGATCCGTGAATTTTAACAGGCACGTTGTAGCATAGCTACTGCTCCAGCCCATCATGCATGAACTGCCCGTATCTGATATTGTCTTAGATGATGGGATCGAGTAGGAATCGGAAACGTCAGGTAAGTAAATCTTTCGCTCTAGCGATCGTGTCCTTTCCTTCACGACAGCCTTGCGGTCTCGTCTCTTCGCTTCTACTAAAACTAATTAGGCGCCAATTTTCGTCGAGTGCGGTTTTGCAGCCAGGCGAAAAGAAGTACATACGAAGGCTTGCATCTCGGACTCCCAAAGATTTCGCGTGATTGGTGCACAAGGTAAGCATTATTACAGATCCACGTGCGTAATTCTTCCTTATCAAAAGTATACTGCAGAATCCCGGTTCACATTATGTGAGATCGGCCAAAGACTAAAAATAATAAACCATGCAAATAGCAGACCCTCTGTTTCCAGTTGACTATTCACTTCCCGAGTTTTTCCTTGATCAGTCTCTTCAGTTTTAGAGACAATGCTTTTTTGTGGATTACGCGTTCGAAAAGGGTATTTTATCAGACAGGTGACTTTTCAATTATCAATGTGGTTTTAATAAAAAGGGATAAGCACATTGCTCACTATGTATGCAGTAATAACTTTATTAAACTCTTAGTATAGGAACTTATGTTTTGACTGATATTAATATGTATTTGGTAATCTACGCCTATTATGTCCTGCTATCGGTTTGACTGGTTTGCTGAATATGTGCCTCGTCCTGACTTGTAGTCCTTTTTTAGCTACACGCAAGGACAAACGACATGAATAATAAAAAGCTGAAAAGATCGTGTTTATTAGGGGGTACGTGTTGAGAGTTGTTTAAAGAGCTTTGCAGACACGAATAGCATGAATGGAGGATGGAGCTCTTTTTGTTCACAACGTTTAGAACATGAATTTGTATTTATAAAAGTATCGAAAATCGGACGAAACACGTAAACTACTTAAAGAGACGTTTGCCGTCGATGTGGTTCTAACAGACATTCCAGTAGAGGTACATTCACAAGCCGTCATCGTCCCTTCACCGAAATATCTGGAGATTATCCTGCCCTATGATTTCCACTATGCATCCACGCTGGCAATTATCCCTAGTTCGAAAATGCATTTCATATATTCGGCTGGCATTCCACAAGATCGGTCATTGGATGCTTCCTCTCAGATGATTGTGGAAAGATAAATGGATAATGTTAAGGCAAGTGAATTGCTCAGTGTTGAACTGCAAACAATCAATTTTGTATGCATTGAAAAACGCTCTCT